GCTGATCGATGTTTCTAACTCTCTATCCCTCTCCCTTCCTCTCTGTAAAAAATCAATAAAATATATTTTTTTAAAAAGAAAAGAAACATCGAAATCTAACTTATTAGTATCCCTCGAGACGGAATGCATTCCCACTCACACCATGAGAAGTAAAGGCTTTTCTCGTTTTTAGGCACAAACGTGCAGAGAACTGCGGCTTTCTTTGTCCCCCACGCTCTCAGCCACAGTCAAAAGTAAATCCCGCTCCTCGCCCCCCCCCTCCCCCGCCCCAAGCACAGCCGGGCCCAGCGCTCCGGGCTGCGAGGGCTTCCCTCACGTCCCGGGACAGCGGAGAGCCCAGCCCCAGCCCCTTATGGTCGCATGGAGAACAGGTCCCCGTCCCCCACCAGGCGGATCCGCAAAGTCAGATCCCTGCAGGCTGGACCGAGTGGAGGCTGCCCTGGCCCCGGTCCCCGTCCCGAGCCAGGAAACAGCCAAAGCAGAGCCAGGGAACAAGGAGCAGCGGGCAGTAGCGCCGTGGGTTCTCTTTCCGCTTGGGACCCGCTCGGCGCCAAGATGAAACCTGCTTGGGCTGCAGGGCCGCCGAGTGCCCTCCCCGGCTCGCGGGTGACAGCTCCACGCGGCTGGGCTCCACGTGGGTGACAGCTCCACGCGGGTGACAGCTCCATGTGGGTGACATCTCCACGCGGGTGACAGCTCCACGCGGGTGACATCTCCACGCGGGTGACAGCTCCACGGACCCTCCAGGTCCCTCAGAGCTGCCCACACTGCCCGGGTCAGCACTTGCTTTCGAGTAACAGGCATGACTCTCACAGGTGGGTAGCTGGTGGGTGAGGGAACCAGCAGGAATGTAAGGTTCAGAGAGCGTTTGAGGGTCTGAGTGGGGTGTGTGTGTGTGTGTGTGTGTGTGTGTGTGTTTGGTCAGTCCTCACCGAGGATACTTTTTCCATTGCTTTTTAGAGAGTGAAAGGGAAGGAGGGGGCGGAGAGAGAGAAAGACAAGAAAAAAATCCATGGGAGAGAGACATCGATTGGTTGCCTCTCGCACACATCTGGACAGGGACCCGGGATGGGACCTGCAACCCAGGTACGTGCCCTTGACCGGGAATCGAACCAGCACCCTTAGGTGCACAGGTTCTAACCACGGAGCCACTGGCCAGGGCAGAGAATCTGAGTTTTATCAGCGAGAGAGAGAGAGAGAGAGAGAGAGAGAGGATACAATTGCCTGATTATATACAAACTGGCTAGTATCTTGGAGACGGTGAAACCATGACCTGTGGGGCTCTCTCTCCTCCCAGTCCGAGGCCACTGGCATCTCTGCTGGACAAGCGCCCATGTTTTAGCACGTGGCCTCGCAGTCCTGGCCCAAACCAGCAACGAAAGGTGAGTCAGAATACGTTTCCCAGAGCATCGCGTCGTCCGTGGGCGGGCCAGGACGTGCTCCCTGGGACAGAAAGGCCTCCTCCCGCCTCCTTAGGAGTATTGGATAGTTTTCCTTAACCGGATGCACTTATTACAATGGAGCACACGCCTCTTTCTGGCCATGTTAGCCCCTTTCTTAAACAATGGCCCCACATCGTCGATACCGAGCGGATGTCAGCTGGTGTTTCCCACGCTGCTGCTGCTTTTATTGTTATTACATTTATTGGGGCGACATTGGTTAATAGGGTCCTACCGGTTGTCCCCACCTCCGGTTCCCGCCTTGACGTGTATTTGTCAGACATTTATTAATGGCCAGGTGTCCCCGCAGTGGCTCTGCCCACGGTTCGGTCAGAGGCACTTGGTGGTGGAGGCTGTGCCGGGCTTTGTAGGGTGTTTGACAGAATGCCCAGCCTTACCCCTGAGGCGCCAGGGGCACCCCCCCAGCTGTGCCCTGACACGGCCAGTGCCCCCCCTACCCCCCCAGAGCGGTTCTCCCTACTCAGGGCCCACTCTGTCTGGTGAAGGAGCGTAGATGCTCCGGTTTCAGATGCCGCCAGGTGGGTAGAAAGCAGATGAGCATCCCTCCCCGCCCTGGCGTCCCCCCAGCCCCCGCCTCCTCTGGGATGTGTTTTTGGATCAGAGGTGGAAGGTCAAGGTCAGATCGGGCTGCGAAAATGAGCAGCATGTGAGAATGGAAACCACGGAGGACTTGAGTGCGGGCCTGGGGGTCTCGAACCCCCATCGGCCGCAGCGGGGGCGTAGGGAGTGTCCGCGTGGGGAGTGTGACCGGTGCACTTGCTCCGGGCGC